ACTTCTGCTGCTGCTACTACTACTACTAAGAGACATATCACTGTGTATTGCTCTGTCTACTACTACTACTACTACTACTACTGCTGCTGCTGCTGCTGCTGCTGCTACTAAAAGACATATCACTGTGTATTGCTCTGTCTACTACTACTACTACTACTACTACTACTACCACTACTACTACTGCTGCTGCTACTACTACTACTAAGAGACATATCACTGTGTATTACTCTGTCTACTACTACTACTACTACTACTACTACTGCTGCTGCTGCTGCTACTAAGAGACATATCACTGTGTATTGCTCTGTCTACTACTACTACTACTACTACTACCACTACTACTACTGCTGCTGCTACTACTACTACTACTACTAAGAGACATATCACTGTGTATTGCTCTGTCTACTACTACTACTACTACTACTACTGCTGCTGCTGCTGCTGCTGCTACTAAGAGACATATCACTGTGTATTGCTCTGTCTACTACTACTACTACTACTACTACTACCACTACTACTACTGCTGCTACTACTACTACTACTAAGAGACATATCACTGTGTATTGCTCTATCTACTACTACTACTACTACAACTACTACTACTACTGCTGCTGCTGCTGCTGCTGCTACTACTACTACTACTACTAAGAGATATATCATTCTGTGTATTGCTCTGTCTACTACTACTACTACTACTTCTACTACTACTACCACTACTACTACTGTTGTTGCTGCTGCAGCTACTACTAAGAGACATATCATTGTGTATTGCTCTGTCTACTACTACTACTACTACTACTGCTGCTGCTGCTACTACTACTAAGATACATATCACTGTGTATTGCTCTGTCCATCCCTCGAAGATATACTCACCATAACCACGACAGCAAGGCAAAGTTGATCATTAAGTGTTTGTTGTATATAATATCCTTGAATGAGAATTTTGTGTTTTGAAGCCCGTCACTTGTATCATTCAGACATTCATCGGTCACTGCTACTGTTTTATGACACTGTTGTGTAGAACACTGCTCTTCGTGAGTTTCCGTTAATGTTCGTGATACATCGTTGTCAATATCAGCGTGTACAGTCATTTCGTTATTTGGCATGTGCAAAGTTTCAAGAACCGCCCTGACGTCAAGCCGGTTGAGTTTAGCAGCACGCTTCAGTATCTTCACAATGGCGGCCCTTCTCCCATTGACATGAAGCCACCGTAATGACTCGTCGATCACCCTGTAATGAAATTTCGTGAATTATATTCTTTACGGTATGAACCAGGACTACCAACATGAAATTTCATAAACTTAAAATAGTGTCTAATCATGTAGCTTGTATTGTTATTTTCTCTCAAAGGCCTCAGGGGCGGTCGTGTAGCCTAGTGGTTAAAGCGTTCGCTCGTCACGTCGAAGACCCGGGTTCGATTCCCGACATGGGTACAATGTGTGAAGCCCATTTCTGGTGTCCCCCGCCGTGATATTGCTGGAATATTGCTAAAAGCGGCGTAAATCCATACTCACTCACTCACTCAAATGCGTCAAATATATATAATTTATAATTTATATATATTTTTCATAAGAAGTTAAGGAACACTAAATCATCTGTTACGTCATCACAGATGAACTACAGCCATATGACAAATCTGGCCTTCTTTAACTCCTTTAGATTAGTATATTTGTTATTATAGTATTTTGTAAGCATATTGAATATATATGTCATGATTCAATAAAGATTGTTTGAAATCCAGAACATATATTCAAAGTTTAAATTTCTTAAATAATAATTTGACTTCAAGATTTATTTTTGCGTTTATGGACGTATATACGAATAAACCAGTGTGCATACTGTGTAACTCTGCCTAGCTGACTTACGTCAAGTATGAACGTCGGTTTTGGCGTTTATAACTCCGTAGGCTTCAAAACTTACTGAAGTCAATTTTTACAAGTGAAAATAAATACGTAAGTAATAATAACCTCACATTCTGATCGAAAGTGAACACAAACATAACCGTGGACAACAATGCGAAATCAATGACAACGTTCAGCGCAATAATGCAACACAAGCGCCACCCATTCTTTGATCAGCCAATCAAGAAACAATAGCCTGTAAGTGGGTGTGGCCTATTCCTTTCGGTGTATGGAAACATAAACGCAAAAATAATCAAATCACTTGCAAATTCTTTACTGCAAATCAAACGAGGTCTTCATTCACGTGGAACACTGAGATGTCACTTTGTGCAATGAAAACCGACAACATTACTGAAAACATGAGCTTAAAGGAAACGTGTTTTTCAAAAGAAAGTATGTCGGTGTATTTTAGTCTAATGACAATTTAACCCTTCAAAATCATATTTCATATAAAGATAGTTTTACGATGTTAACGATATAATGTATACATAACACATAACAATTGGTTATTGGTATTTTACACCATACGCATGGGCGAGATGAACTCGGGACTACGTTAGTGGTAAGAGCGATGAAGATATTGGATTCCGAAACGAAGCTATGCAGAATGGATCCAGGGTATTTATCATAGAATGGAGATATAATACCCTGGGAAATCGAGGATGGATTCGAAAGAGACAGAGGTAGTTTGGATTGATTTCTACAGAATCAGTGACAGAGTGAGTTGGATTGTACACTTCTCTAAACAATATCACAACGGGGGACACCAGAAATGATTAGGCATTTCTTCGAAGTTGACGGATGACAAAGCAGACAAAAACATTTTAAGGAAAACAACTTTTTCTTATACTGTGATAGGGACGTTTTTAGTATAGATGTTTATGTATTGTTTGATAACAGTATCAGGATCTACACCGAAACGTCGCTATAACAGTATAATAAGAAAATTGTTATCCATATTTTGGATAGACTACTTTGTCACCAGAAATGGGCTTCACACATTGTACCAATGTGGTATCGAACCCGAGCCGTCGGCGTGACGAGCGAACACATGAACCACAAGACTACCCCACCAGCCCATAATAATGGAAATGTACCAACCACACGAAGCAGAGAGATATAACCGTCAGTCCAAACAACGCATACTGCAGGATCCGCCACGACTCATGACGAAGAAAGTATGCCAACGGCGCCAGCATCACCGACGACGTCATCCACACAGTGACGTATATTGATCCCCTCAGTCGTCGACTCTCCGTGGGATACAGTTCCATAACCATTGTCGTCCTTATCATCAACAAAGCCTTAAATACAAAACATTGCGGGGATTATACAGTGACATTTCGTTGTCTTGCAGTGCTTATAATATTCAACCGAGACCGCAAAGCAACATTGTCTTAAAGGATATATCGACTTAATTAAACACGATTTAGCGAATGGTCGAGGCATATATACTATTCAAAAGAAGTTCAGGAACATCCGATTTTGTTCAAATTACAATAGTTAATCTGCCATTGCAATACACTTCTTTTGGGTAGTATATATAATATTGAAAGGTTGTGTGAGTGAGGAGATACGGGTTTACTCCGCCTTACACAGAATCGCAAACGTTTGACAAGAATATATTCCATATGGTATACCTATGACGGGATTCGAACCTCGAGTTTCCCAAGCGAACAGTTAGGTCTACGAGTTATGTGAGCGTATTAGTACCACGTTCTAAAACAAACTACTATATCATCTACGTAGATGAAAGTATCAACATCTACGTGGATGATTTTTGGTTCAAAATATGGCACTAATACGCTTCCATAAGGCTTTGGAGTGAGTGAGCGAGTGAGTATTGTTTTACACAATACGTGGATGATTTCTGTTTCAAAATATGGCACTGATACGCTTCCATAGGTCTTGGAGTGAATGAGTGAGTATGTTTTACGCAATATTGCAGCAATATCGCGACTGGGGACACCAGAAATGGGCTTCACACATTGAGATGCATAAGCACTGCTTCCGAAAACAATGCGGGTTCTCTTTCTTAGCTTACTAATTTGCTACTTTTGCATGTCATGCAGGTGAGGCACACGACCCTTTATATTAGTGTCAGCAGGGAGAATACGACAAACCAATCAGAATGCGCGTATGACTTCAATTACTTCGGTCAAAGAATCCCCCAGGAATAATGTTTGATTTTACATATGTCTTGCATTTAGAGTGAGTGAGTATGGTTTTACGCCGCTTTTAGCAATATTCCAGCAATATCACGGCGAGGGACACCAGAAATCGGCTTCACACATTGTACCAATGTCGGGAATCGAACCCGAGTCTTCGGCGTGACGAGCGACCACTTTAACCACAAGGCTACCCGACGCCCTCTTGCATTTATAAAAATATACACAAGATACATTTAAATGTGTTCAACCATACTGTATAATAATGTAAGTCCCGATGTGTTTTCAATAGCACCTGGAATATATATCATATCTATCATATAGATACGTGAATCATTCCGCAACGAGTAATTGTTTTAGCTATGTCCGTTGCGCTTAAACGGAACCCAGTCGCAAAAATGGCCACGAGAGGGGCACGAGTCGGTGCTACTCGGCTTGTCCCGGAATAACACGAGCTGGTCACGAATGTCACCCAACTGTCAAACTTCCCGAACGCGCTCACCCGAAGCTTCAGAAACTTGCAACAGTCAAGCTTCCCGAACGTGATTGCTCATCCACCTCCTTTCAGATGCTTCACTTCGCTCAACTTGTGGCCTGCGTGTCGTACTATATATGACCGCGATGCCGCCACATATTTACACTTCATGTTTGAGGATATAAAACGGTTAATCTTCTTACCATTTGTGCAAATCCAGCGAAAAATCTCAACACAATGAAGACGTATATATCTGTGGAAAATGCCAGGGCGAGTGACGCAAAGCACAAGATGACCAGGCTTATTATTAGCGGGATCCGCCTCCCGAATCTGTCAGCTAACTTGGTGAAGATAACCCCTCCGAAGATTTGACCAGCAATTAGCACCGACTGACTAAGGCGAGAAAACACTTCCTTGCCGCAGACAAGGTCCCACTGAAAGACCGAAAATAAAGACGTCGGTATTTAATCCATCATTTACTCTAATAAATATTTTACGCGAAATCTTACCTAATGTGAGTGAGTGAGTGAGTGGGTATGGTTTTACGCCGCTTTTAGCAATATTCCAGCAATATCACGGCGGGGGACACCAGAAATGGGCTTAACACATTGTACCCATGTTGGGAATCGAACCCGGGTCTTCGGCGTGACGAGCGAACGCTTTAACCACTAGGCTATCCGACCGCCCCACCTTATTTGAAATTAATTGTATTATTATCGAATGATAGTAACAATAGTCGACATTATCGTATGAGACTTACGATGGTCGTCGTTACCGTATGAGGAATACGGATGAAATAGGGTGACAGTAGCACATAGACTGGGTATGTTCTCTAGGCGATCCCTTGTCAGCATATTGAGTTCTATCACGTTCACATCAACTAGTTTTATATATTTGGAGTAATCAAGGGCAACTCAGTATTTGCGACATCTAATGGTTGAATGTTGCGTGCTCATCAAAAGGTTGTTTGTTTGTTGTTTACCGTCGCACTCGCCACTGGCATTATGCCAGCTATATGACAGCTGTAAATAATCAAGTATTGACCAGACAATCCAGTGAATGACCACTCGATCCCGTCAGTCGCCTCTTCCGACAAGCATGGGTTGCTGAAGTCGTCATACGAGGTAGTACACTGTTGAAATTTAAGGAAACAGTAAATGATCTTACCTCGGACACGATTGACGCGTCTTTACGCTCGCTGTAGATCCAACCATTTGTGCACGGCGTGATGGCGGAAGTGTTGCCAGGGGAGATAATTCTACATTCTTCGTAGATGATACTAGAGTCATTGCTGACAACGCTGTCATGTGCAGCGCTTGTGTCTGTGACGTTGTACCCTCCAACACTGTATGTAGCGGCTGACGACAATGGCGGAGAGCACACGTGCGACACGTCTCTGGCTAGAAGATAAACGTGATTCAATTGTTAAAACTATCATCAATGATGTGTTCTACGTTTGTTGATTGTTTGGTTGTTTGTCATTGAACGCCGCAGTCACCAATACTGTAAAATTCGAGTTTCGACCAGACAGACCAGTGGTTAATATTGTGAGCAACGTCCTACTCCGACGGCGATACAAAGAGCCAAGCCACTGACCCTGACCCCCGATGCATTTAGTTGCCTACCTCAACCAGGCTGTACACCTGCATATTCTGTGTGGTATGACAACGTTTAGCTCTTAAAAGTTAAAAGTTCGTTCGTAAATATAACGAGATCTCGCGAGAGCGAGACTCCATTAAAGATGGCAGCGCCCTGCGAGTGATCGCATTCGATGTCGCCAGGCTAATATATAACTGGTAAGTGATGTTCTATGTGATAGTATATGTGACGTAAGGAGGTAGGTTGCTGGGGAAATGACGGTTAGGGTTAGTCGTTAGTCGGGTTGAGAGTGCTGCTGTGTGCGCACGTACATGTCTTGTCATCAAATATATAAGCGAATAAACAACCTTGACTCAATATATCATCGTTGTGTCATCTGGGCCATATTCGATCTAACATAGCCACTTGGACCTTCCGACCCGTGAAGATTCCGGGGTAGAATAGGTCTTCAGCAACCCATACTTGCCGTGAAAGGCGACTATGCTTGTCGTAAAAGGCGACTAACGGGATCGGGTGGTCAGGCTCGCTGACTTGGTTGATACATGTCATCGATCCCAATTGCGTGGATCGATGCTCATGATGTCAATAGCTGGATTGTCTGGTCCAGACTCGATTATTTAACAGACCGCCGTCATATAGCTGGATTACTGCTGAGTGCGGCGTCAAACAACAAACAAACAAATAATACTTGTTTCCATTTCGTGCAGGACATCCGACTTGTCCAGGACTTTTTGTTTATCATCTGAGAACAAAACAATATTTTTCAAAACTCCGAAATACCCCCCACCCCCACCCCATCAACCAAGTCAGCGAGCCTGACCACCCGATCCCGTTGGTCGCCTCTTACGACAAGCATAGTCGCCTTATACAGCAAGCATGGGTTGCTAAAAACCTATTCTACCCCGGATCTTGACGGGTGAACAAGTTTTGAATTGTCCGGTATCTACTTTCCCAGACTAAAATGTGCGTTTTTAGCAATGACCTAAAAAAAATGTCCCGTTTCAGATAAAAACACACAAACTTTGTTCTGGAAATATTCCCCAAATATTGGAGTAGCTCGAATTTGTAAATTATGTGAAAAGAAAGATGTAAGTGATAAAAAGCATTATACTTTCAAATGTGCACATTTTAACGATGCTCGATAATAGTATATCCCATGTATATGTAGGAATGACCCAAATATGCTAAAGTTCATAGAGTTGTTCAAACTCTTCAAAAATCTCTGTCCAGAAGAAACTTTGTAAACATACTGATATCATCATGAAAGCTGTCAAAGCTCCCGGTCAATCTTGCCTGACTATGTTGTCTCTGTTTGTACCTCATATGCCGAGGTCGTCGGCCTGAGTTTAATCAAGTTCTATTTTGTTCTGACGAAGTCCTGACCTACCTACAAATACGAAGTTCATGATGCTGAAGTTGGAGCAGACGATGAGGGCGCAGAGAAAGCAGAACTGTACTGTGTGGTAGCGTCCGTTACTCCCGAGGGCAGTAAGAACCTTGTCCATGCTGGGCTGACCACCGTCCATCGTTGCTCTGGACTCTGGTTTGCCTGCTGCGCTAGCTTTGTCGGGGCTTGTTTTCTGCAACGCACTTCAAATGTAGAACCTGGTTGTATGGAATACTGTAAGGGACATTCTCGCGATCTCGCATTCTCGCGATCTCGACCTTTGGAAACGAGGTAAATATGCCCAAAACACGAGAATGCGAGATCGCGAGAACGCGAGATTTTGGCCAAATCTCGCGTTCTCGCATTCTCGTGTTTTGGCTATATTTACCTCGTTTCCAAAGGTCGAGATCGCGAGAATGTCCCTTACAGTATTCCATACGGTTGTGACTAAAACAGCACACAAAGAGATGGTAGTGTATAAGGGTCACATTTGGGAGGAATGGGTCATTCCGAAGAAGCCGCAATACGTGGATTTTAACATGTTCAGTTGTATTTGCAAAGACATGTTTAAACACACATTCATAATAGACATACAGTAAACTACGGTCATAACGAACTCGAAGGGACCACTAATTTTAGTTCGTTATAACCGTAGTTCATTATAAGCATATATACAGCATTTATACAACTGGTCGGGACTAAAAAAATTGTTCGTTATATCGGTCAGTTCGTTATAAGCGTGTTCGTTATAACCGTAGTTCACTGTATATTGTTTGACGCATTGGAACGCTGTCTAATTCGAATTCGTGCAGTCTGCTTACACTTAGCATCTATCCCTGTTACTATCAGCCAGAGGTCTGGTATTTCCCAGTTTGACCTAATATTAAGTAAGCTAAACATTTATTTGCTTCTACTAAAAGGTAATAGGTCAGATTACAGATAATATAGCAGGAAACCATCCGGATTAACGGGATCCTACTGGAAACCATCCGGATTGACGGGATTCCACTGGAAGCCACCCGGATTAACGGGATTCTACTGGAAACCATCCGGATTTACGAGATTCTACTGGAAACCATCCGGATTGACGGGATTCTACTGGAAACCATCCGGATTAACGGGATTCTACTGGAAGCCATCCGGATTGACGGATTATACTGGAAACCATCCGGATTAACGGGATTCTACTGGGAACCATCCGGATTAACGGGATTCTCCTGGAAACCATCCGGATTGACGGGATTCTACTGGAAACCATCCGGATTGACGGGATTCTACTGGAAGCCACCCGGATTGACGGGATTCTACTGGAAACCATCCGGATTGACGGGATTCTACTGGAAACCATCCGGATTGACGGGATTCTACTGGAAACCATCCGGATTGACGGGATTCTACTGGAAGCCACCCGGATTGACGGGATTCTACTGAAAACCATCCGGATTAACGGGATTCTACTGGAAGCCATCCGGATTGATGGATTATACTGGAAACCATCCGGATTAACGGGATTCTACTGGGAACCATCCGGATTAACGGGATTCTACTGGAAACCATCCGGATTGACGGGATTCTACTGGAAACCATCCTAATTAACGGGATTCTACTGGAAACCATCCGGATTAACGGGATTCTACTGGAAGCCACCCGGATTGACGGGATTCTACTGGAAACCATCCGGATTAACGGGATTCTACTAGAAGCCATCCGGTTTGACGGATTATACTGGAAACCATCCGGATTAACGGGATTCTACTAGAAGCCATCCGGATTGACGGGATTCTACTTAAAACCATCCTGATAAACGGGATTTCATGATCACTGTATATTTTGTTTCCAATTATATTCAGATATTTCATTTCGAACATATGCCGATCGTGAGTCTGTCAGTCTGTCGCTATCCTAGTTCATGTGATGTGTGTGTGTGTGTGTCTGTGTGTGTGTTTGTGTTTGTTTGTGTGTGTGCCTGTCCATGTCTGTGTGTCTGAGTGTATAAACCTGTAAATGTAATATATAACGTCACCACCAGAGAATAACCAGTCCCCAGTATCCACGGTGACCGAAACACATTTCATAGGGCGTAAAAGGCAAAAAGTAGCCATGAAACTTATATGAATAGATAACTGAAAATCAGTGAAGACACCAGGTGTTCTCAGAAAGGGTAAGCATGCCCCGCCCTACCGGTAGCACACGCCACTGATTGATTTGGCCTGACGCCGCTAAACAGTACTCCTGTGATATGGTGGTATGTAAAACAAACCAGACAACCTGTATGTCTGCACTTGTTAATCTGAAGTCATTGAGTACGAAAACACAGTATGGTATACATGGCACATACTTAAATCAGTCGGGCATTAATGGTTATAATTATCGTAAATTAATAATCAAAGAAGTGTGTATAACAATTCCAACTCGTGTGACTCATCACAATATAGTGTTGTTGTCAGGGACGAACACACTACCATCACAACCATAATGTAATATAAGATAGCTCCCCGATAATTAAGAATTGAAGGTCAGTTTGGATGGGTTCATTGAAGTGTGAACAATTTAAAAGCGCTGTTTAAACTGTGTGAAAAAAATGCAGGCAAAAATACTAAATTAATTATTTTGCTGATAATGCAGGTATACGACAAACAGAGCTGCAGTGGAGGATCCAAGCTTTTTGCGAGTATTATAGTAAAGAGAATGTGAAGACGAAAGATGTAGAAGCTATAGTGTTTACCTGAGCGGGCTCCACCTCCGTCACGACCTCACGCAAAAATACATCACGCATCACATCAGCTGATCAATGGGACAGCGTTACGCCTGGCTAATGCTGCGATCGTTGACTTATATTTCCACACATGGAGGTCTTTCCCCTCGAATATAGATGAATGTTAAAACCCAGCGAGCTGTACAAGTGTAGACCTCGCAGCAGCAGGTGGACCTGGCTTATAACAGACTGGAAATTATGTTGTATTTTCTGCCTGGATCCAAAATCAGATCAATGGATTGAACTGTCGTTTGCAGTTTATCTGCGAGAGGTCCTTACCCCTACGACCCGATCGAGTGCAGGTGCAGGTGACACAGCGGCGTGTCGGATACACAAGAGCAAAGTCTCGACGGGGCTGTGGCACAGCAGATATTTATCTCGGCATGGGCTGAGCTAACAATAACATGATAACTTGGCACATTCCAGATCAACATCGGAAATTGACCCTTAACAATGCTGAATGTCATAGCTCACTAATACACTAGGTCACAGTGACCTTTGTTTGTCTCTATGGCTGATAGCAGTTACGCTCTGTTTTTTACGATCTAGTAAATCAATGCAACATCTCTCATAGACGAGAGAAGCATGCGATGCTGACCTCAAGAGCATCTGGGACGGGGTGAAGGTTACCCTCCTTCTTACGCTACCTTTCAATGTCCGTCGCTCATACGGGGAAGGCTCCCACCACTGATCGGTACCGGTACATGTACCGGTAAAAAGTGTCCGTGAACCAACCCACATCACTGTGTTATAGGTTATATTCCCTTTCAGCAGCAGCTGTGGCATGGCGAGACTGTACATTAGCTGATTGAACCGGGGTCAGGAGACATAGACTTACACAGGCTTTTCCCAAAGCATTGACAACATATATTTTAGTTATTATTGGAGAGTATTACATAGTGACAGAGAAGCACAAGAACAACAGCATAGTATATATAGCTGTACCCATACTCGCCGTAAAAGGCGACTAACGGGATCGTGTGGTCAGGCTCGCTGACTTGGTTGATGCATGTTATCGATACCAATTGCGTGGATCGATGTTCATGTCAATCACTGGATTGTCTGGTCCAGACTTGATTATTATATTTACAGACCGCCGTCATATAGCTGGAATATAGCTGAGTGCGGCATTAAACAACAAACCAACCAACCAACCAACCTTAAGGTAATTGAAGTATTTCTCTATCATTAATTCATACTGTTATTACAAATGTTGTATGGCTGTTTTATGTCGGACATATGACTATAGCTGTGATGAACTGTTCCCAGCCAGTGAATGCATGATCAGTTTTTCCCTCTTCTTCTCCTTCAGTTTGTCATGAAGATGGTCCGACTGACAACGTCCTGCACATCTCAAGGTTACAAGAATGTTTATCACAAACGGTAACAAATGATGACAATTTTATGTCATTCCCTATTTAAAGCTTCAAGCACTCTGCTCAAAAAGAGACGCATGTTTTAAAAGTACAAAATGTATTATTTAGATAACACATAGAAATTTGATTCCAGTCTGTAATGTTTATTACCGTATTCGACGTAATAAGCGCCCAGGGCGCTCTTAAAATTACAATCACTGGATTGTCTGGTCCAGACTTGATTATTTACAGACTGCCGTCATATAAGTGAAATATTGGTGACTGCGGCGTTAAACAACAAATAAACAAACAAACAAATAAACAATATATAGCTGTGGTTACAGTATCCACTCGACCGTTCATCGTTCAGGCTTTGTCTGTCTCCCTCCTGTGGGGGGCACGGGTGGCCCAGTCGTCTTAGGCGCCGCGATTCGCTGTGCAGAGTTGCGTCCCTTGGGCACGCCAGAAACCTATGATTGTGGGTTCGAATCCCGGTTCGCCCCAATTATGTTTCTAGGTTTGTCAGCACCATACCCGTGCTCGTGGGTTTCACCGAAGTGGTAAACGTCTGAGACCTGCATCACTTCGGGCTTTCCTCCCACATTAAGCTGACACGCCGTGATATAACTGGAATAATGTTAAAAGCGGCGTTAAACCCAACTCACTCACTCACTCACTCTGCTGTGGGCAACAGATCGACCCCTTAGAAAAATTGCCAATGTGTGCTGTGTTTTTAAGTTACTTCATGGAACTATTAACATTGGGAAAAGAACAAAGTTTGACAAATATTTTATCACGTTACACGCCATACATAAGAACTGGAAATTGTGAAAATAGGGAATATTGCAACAAACGACCACGTTCCATTATATTTAACCTGCCAAGTGTCAACCCGATAATGCACATCGGACAGCACCAGCATCTAATGGTGTTGCTCAGACAGAGTTAGGCAAACACATTCAAGGCGTAAATATCTTTTTCTGTATCTACAGGGGCGGTCGGGTAGCCTAGTGGTTAAAGCGTTCGCTCGTCACGCCGAAGACCCGGGTTCGATTCCCGACATGGGTACAGTGTGTGAAGCCCATTTCTGGTGTCCCCCTGCCGTGATATTGCTGGAATATTGCTAAAAGCGGCGTAAAACCATACTCACTCACTGTATCTACAACTGTTCATCATCCACCCTTATCAATGGACGTGTACGTCACATCTCCCGGGTAGGGGGTTTATACATTAATTGGGGGCACGGGTGGCCCAGTCGTCTAAGGCGCCGCGATTCGCTGTGTCCCTTGGGCACGCCAGAAACCTATGATTGTGGGTTCGAATCCCGGTTCGCCCCGATTATGTTTCTAGGTTGTCAGCACCATACCCGTGCTCGTGGGTTTCACCGAAGTGGTAAACGTCTAAGACCTGCACCACTTCGGGCTTTCCTCCCACATTAAGCTGACACGCCGCGATATAACTGGAATACTGTTAAAAGCGGCGTTAAACCCAACTCACTCACTCACTCATTATACATTAATTTTATAAATTCTACATTCGTGAATGGCAACTTTTGAATTTAATCCTATTAGGGTTATGGCATTGGAGTTACTCTACACCCATCTTCCACAAGTGGGATTTGTTTGTTTGTTTGTTTGTTGTTGTTGTTTTGTTTGTTTGTTGTTGTTGTTTTTTTGTTTGCTTGCTTGTTTGTTTTTTATTTCACGCCATTCTCAGCACTTTTCAAGCTACACATTACATGACGGCAGCAGTAGGTAATCGAGTCTGGACCAGACAAGCCAGTGACTGACAGCATGAGCATCGACCTACGCAATTGGGATACGATGACATGCATCAACCAAGTCAGCCAGCCTGACCATCCGGTCCCTTACGACAAGCATGGGTTGCTGAGGACATCTTCCCACCCAGATCGTCACCGGAGTATCATATATAACGTGACAACATGTCACCAGTGTCAGACACGTTCACCCTTAACCTCTGCTTGGCATACCTTTACAAACATATAGACTTTACATATTTTTAGATATTTTGGAGTGACCTACATGTAGTCAAATGACGTAAACACGTTACGGATACATGCCGTAGTGAGTGAGTGAGTGAGTTTGGTTTTACGCCGCTTTTAGCAATATTCCAGCAATATCACGGCGGGGGACATCAGAAATGGGCTTCACACATTGTACCCATGTCGGGAATCGAACCCGGGTCTTCGGCGTGACGAGCGAACGCTTTAACCACTAGGCTACCCGACCGCCCCGATATATGCCGTAATATATCTATAGCCTGTCTGACTAAAGCGGACATGTGCAGCTCAACTCTTCACAGTGTGAGCACTGCTTAATTACTGTCTGAAATGCCAAAAGGTGTGGACTCCAGACAACAATGGCCCAGAGTACATCTACGTGCGTCTGTCTGAAGTTGTTTGTAGGCATCAAGCGTTAGATATGTAAACATGTATTGTGCATTACAAACCATTTCATGTAACTGATTTTCAAAATATATGTTTCAGAATATGTATCGTACATTGTAAACCTATAGAAAGTGTGTTCTGTGTTGTGATTGGCTTATTTGGGTCACATGACCAAATGTCAAAGGGTGAAAATATGATTTGCATTCCCTGAAGCAAGCGAACGAATCACTGAGTAGGAATACATAATTACTCAGCATTTTTTGCATACTTATTAACAATGGACGCAAATTGAAATACAAAATTAACATTCATAACAAATACTCGATAAAATCCCGGAAATAGACACACACATAGTATTTATCTTCTAAATGTTTGAACATGTGTGGGGGCCTTTATCATTAAATATTTTAATTAAATCAATAACCATATTCATATAATTGCTTTATATAGAATACTATCTTAATATGTTTCTTGCAATGTATCTCTTCGTGTGTTTGACGCATCAGTGACAAAAATGATGTCCGATGCAATTCCCTATTTGACTTGTACCATATGTTCCCATATTTTTTCGGGTGAACAATTGACTTGCCCTTGCAAGTGTTTGTGACGGTGCCACCGGTGGGACAGGCTACGCTCACCTTTTCGCGAACACCTGGTATCATTACTATTTGATAGTGATTCATAAACACATGCTGGTATAGTCGGAATCGTACAATCGACTCTGCTTTATGCAGATATGTCTATTGGATATGGAAAGGTTTTGAAGCTTTATTTATCTGTGAATTGTGTCTATGTATAAATAAATACACGTGTACCTGATATTCTGCAACAGACTATAGTTAATCACCCTATTCTCTCCCCATTTTCAATGGCTGACTGCCCATTTACTCAGAACAATAAGTTAGGGCACGGCGAGGTGTCCCCTGTCAATAAACAGGCCTGGACCGGACCAACAAGTGATTGATATTGTGAGCAAGCAAGGCAACAAGCCTGACCCTCGATCTTTTAAATCGCCTCTTACCACCAGCAGAGGTTGCTTGGATCACAATTCTAACTAGGAACCCCCATGGACACCAGGGACTGAGTGCTCCAAGCTATATGATATAATAGCCAACATTCATAGAACCTTGTTACGAAAAGAACATTATTTGTATTTAAAAAGACATTCAAAATCTCCAAGTTTAACTGCAACAACACTGCATGATATCTGCCTTTCACGGCTGTACCTCGCTCTTTGGTGATCCAGGCTATGAAATAATTCAGTTTAGACCACCCTTGATCAATCATCTAAATATTTCTTGTCCATGTTACTGGGCCTATTATGAGCGAACATAGCCCTGATCAAGAGATGAGTATATATTTTCTATCTATTCGTTTCTTTTTACGCAAAACCATCAAAACAACAAGTACGTTCAGTGTATAGAAAAATACACTGATTATAATACAAACACATCAATAAACGGATTAACTATAAGTCTTAAAAGCGTGTTGTTTTATAAGTTGTTAATTCCGGAGAACGTCTTCCTTTAGACTTTTGTTCACATTCGAATACCACTGGCGACACAAATATTTCGTCAAATTATTCATCTCGTGATCATCTGAGTCGGTGATAAAAAACACAGAAGTTCTGTGATTTCAAATTGGTGATTAAAAATTCAGGTAGTTATAGCCCTGTAAGAAGACAGAGAGAGCAGTGGTACATACAGAATTTCCTCAACTATA